TACATTATACTATTTCTATTCTTGTAAAGTTTATCCAAACCCTAGTACCTATTTTTTCAATTTCTTCTCTTCATCCCTCTACTATCCAACTCAGAATCCAACAGACTCTCCAGATTCTTAATCCAGATAGCTTGGTATAGTATACCTTGGTATCCTTTTCCTTTAGCGATTCTGACAGCCTGGTTGATCATATGCTCTTCTATATATTTTTCTATTCAGTTGCATTCAGCTATTCCTTATTGGGGTTTTCTGAGCTTCCATCAGCCTAATAGCACCATCAAAGGCTTGTGCTACTCTTTACTTAAGAATTTTCAAGTAGACTTTTGTCTTCTCAGTTTCTTGGTCTTTTATATCTGGTGGTCTTATTATAAGTTTGCACCAAAGTCTTATATGACATTAGTTATTAACATTTCTCTATATATGTGTAATGTTACACTTTATATAGATGCCTCGGGCTTCTAATAATGAGTAGAACCTGATTGGTTGTACCCAAGATTACAGATACCTAAATCTAACTAATCGACAAGAGACAGTTTTCTGTAACACAGATTAATTATCAAATTTTATCATAGGTGAAATTTGAACCTTAAACCTGCCACTTGAAGGATAACAACCCACCACTATACTAGAATCATCATCCTCTAATCTAACTATTTTATAAAATTATGTTCTTATAAAAATTACTAAAATATTAGCACTTATTTTACAGTATATTTTTAATATTTTAGTATATTTCTACTTTATTATTAAACTTTTAATTTAGATAACTCAAAAAAATTATAATCTGTTTTTAGTATATTAAATTTAGTTTAATATTTTTTTTTAGTTTAAACTTGACAATTTTGTTAGTAGTACCTTTTAACTAGAGGTTCTTGTTTGTTTAATTTTTTTATATTAATATTTATTTTTTAGGTTTAGTTTTTATAATAATATTATTAAAAATTCATATTACTTTTTTATATAGTTTTTTTTAAATAAGTTTTAGTTTTATCAGTTCTATAAATATATATAACTATAATAATATAGCAGACAGATAATAAAAGTAAAATTTGAAATAAACTTGCAATAATAAGATAATAGTTTTATAAATTCTATACAAGAACTTATTTTTGATTTGTACTGTCTAATATTAGTTTGTATTTTTTTGTATAATCAAGTTTATACAAATGTTTTATAATTTGTTAGTCATGCTAGTATGACTATAGTTGTAAATATCTTAACTAATTAATAAAATATTATTGCTATAATATAAGTATATTTTTTAAATTTTTACTTTTAGTAGATTTTAAACTTACAATCTGTTACTTAAAAGAGTAACAACTTATTTATTTTACTAAGTTGCTATATCTGTTTTTACTAAATTTTTAAAAATTAAAAATTGTTTAATAAAATCTTCAATATTAATTTTAACTATATATATTTTATTTAAAAAATATAATTTAAAAAATATTTTATTAACTTTATTAAAAAAATTTTTTTAAATTATTAAAAATCTTTTGTGTAATAAAAAATTAAAATTTTTGGTTTAAAACTTTTATTATAAATTTTTTTCTAAAATTTTATATATTTCTGTTTGTATAAAAAGTTTTTACTTCTAATACAAGTCATAATTTTTACAAATAAATTATAAAACTTTTAATAATAAAAGTTGTAATTCTTTTATAAACTATTATATTATATTAAGAACTATAAATCCAAACCTAATATTATAAAGTTTTCTAAGAATTACCAAATAATCTTTTTTAATTAATTTTTTTTTAATTTGTTTATTTTTAGCTTATAAACAACTTATATATGTTTTTTTATAATATAAAATTAAATACTACTAAAATATAAACCTTATTCTTAAATATTATAATACCAAATTTTATTTAAATATTTAATATTAAAAAAAATAAATTAGAATCAACTTTATAATATATAAACAAACAAATTTGCTTGCTATAATTTACAGTATAAAAGATAAATATGCAAAAAATCTTACAAGTATTATAAATAAATAATATATTACTGTAAAAATAATAAATCATAATTAGTTTATAAAAGTACTACTACAGGTTACCTTCGTTAATATCAACTCTGTTAATATTAATCTAAACCATATAACAAATTTTTATAAATTTTTATATATCAAAATTCCCTTATATATATTAACTTTAATCTGATTTCTCATTAATATCATTATTAATATGATTTAAAACTAATACAAATAAGTTAATATTAACGAAGGTGACCTGTATTTAATAATTATACTTGTAATAATTAAAATAATTAGAATATAGATTAGTTACTTTAAATATTTTTAATTTTAAAATTAACTTTGCTATTAAAATAATACTATATATTAGTTATTTATATTATACAGATTTTTTATAATCTTATTTATTAAGAAATTATTTGATAATTATATATTATTATAAAAAAATGGTTATAATATATTAAGACTAATTAGACTTATAAATCCAATTCAAATTTATTAGCCTTTTTAGCCTTATGTCGTCCAATTGGACATGTCCAATAGGGCAAGTTCCAGGCACGGACACTACTAAAACATAGTGCCAGGCACAGGCCTGGGCACCATTTTTAATAGTACGTGCCCGGCACTTGCAGAACCCTAATGTCCAATAACAACACTGGTTGATATCATCAACATTGTAATACCACTATTATATTACATGAAATAGCCTAAATTTTGGAGTAACATTAATATCATATAGTATAACTTATTAAATAATCATAAAATACCATTATTTCGAGATTTTACGTAAAGCTAGAAATTAGACCTATCACTAAATGATGAATCACATGATGTTATACGCAATAGAACATTAAAAATCTAGTATATATTACGTAAAATTACGTGATTAATATATATGGTTATTGTGAGTTTCGTATGTATAATACGTATAAAACATGTTAACCTAATTATTTTTTTCCAAAAATAAATTTAGCACTTTCTCGAAAAGATCCGATTGGTATGAGCATGAAGATCAACTGGATTTCTTTATAAAGTAAGTAAGCTCAAGCACAAGTTTCAATTAGTGTAGTGCTTTGGCGTTACCTCGGTTATTAGTAAATCACAATGAGGAAGATTCTTAACATCTCGGTTATTGGGCAATCACATTGAGGATAAAATTCAACGTGCAAAAATAAGGGTCAAATAAAGGACATAGAGATTTTATGATTTAAACCAGTGAATCGTTATTTTCACACCATTTCATCTATAAAAAATAAGAGACTTTGCGATTTATCAAGACCGTATTAGAAAAATAGCAATATTCACGTTCTTGGGAATACTAATAAACCGACAAATGCGATTTCTTTGTATTACCTGGGCAAATTAATAAAGTCTAAAGTCTGAAGGTTATAATTATGGTATCATCGGGTTTATATCTATCATGATATAGTAAAAATTAAAGGTTGGTTAAGATCACTTCAACCACAAAGAAAAAGCTCCAACTACAATAAGTAAAATCGATAAGTAAAATTACGCGCAAAATCAAGTGCGATCGCCAATTTAAAATTTTGGATATGCAAAATTATTCTATTGGGCAGTGATTTTAGGGTAATTTGATTAGCAGCTTGCGAATGGCTTAGCAGACTTACTAAATTCTATTCTTACTTTTGGTAACACAGTTAATATTGTTCGTTTAAATATATAGCCACTTGATATCAAACTTACTAAACATGTTTCATTTATTTTCTACGACATTACTCTTGAAACATGAATTGGAAGAATTTATCAATACAAATTACAAAAGGAGTAGTGTAACATAAGCTTAGTTGCACATGGTTCTGAATATTTGAACTTGGGTCAAAATTTGAAACATTCCGTTGGTATTGGTCCTTTCACTATGATTATCGATGACTAACTTTGTATATTTATATTTGTCTTTATCGACAATATGACAATCGAGTGAAAGATAAAAAACAAGGACCAAAAAAAAAAAACAAAGTCAATAAAAAAAATAAAATATACATAAAATAAACCAAATAAAATAATATAAAGGGTCAACTTATAAATAGGGCGAAAAATCAAGCAACATCAACAATCTGAAATGCAATATGCCGAAAACTAATGCCACCTCGAGAAACCCAACAAAATCGCGAAGGAAAAGACAACCTCACTTATTTGAAACTCATGAATTCAAAGAACGCCTTAAATGTTCAATAGAAAAAAATTATAAAGAATTCATTTCCGACAGAGATGAATTCAATTTTAGGCACACGATTGTGCAACTTTTGGCACCTTGTAAGAAAACTAGAGGAAAACGAGGCAGAATTACTCGACCACAAAATGCCTTTATCTTGTACCGAAAAGACTTTCAAGATGAAATAAAAAAAGAATATCCAGATGCGAATTTCGAAAAAATATCTCAAATTGTTGGAGATAGATGGGCAAATGAATCAGACAAAATAAAAAATCAATATACTTTATTAGCGGAGCTTTGCGGTCGTGTTCATAACGAACTTTTTCCCGATTATAAATTTAAACCAAGGTCAAAAGAAGAAGAAAAAGAACCTAGCATTTTGCCTGAAGAATCTAAAGAAAGGAGGGGATGAAGAGAAGAAATTGAAAAAATAGGTACTAGGGTTTGGATAAACTTTACAAGAATAGAAATAGTATAATGTA